GGAGCCGTAGACGCTAGGCTCGCCAAATGATCAACAGCAAAATTAGCCTCGCGATGCACATGACGGAGGTGAATTGTCCACTCCTGTTGGAGCAAATACCGAATGTCTTTGACTAAGGCTTCATGCACCCCAGGGATGGGACCGGTGCCATTAATCATCCTCAGTACGCACTGGCTATCTACCTCCGCCCGAATTTGGCGAAAGCCCTGATCCCAAGCAAGCTGAAGCCCCTGGAAAAGACCCTATAGTTCGGCTCCAGTAATAGTACAATACCCAATATTCATGATAAAGCAAGCGGTCCAACCACCCCATTCGTTTTGAAGAAGGCCACCAGCGCTTCCGAGGCCAAAGGACACGTCAAAAGCGCCATCAGTGTTCAGCTTGAGCCATCCTTGATCCGGAGGCGACCAAGAGATCAGCCGTGAATCATAACGGTTACGCACCGCCCCGGCTATAACGATTGCCTCGGCTGCACGGCTATACTCGCCGTCTGGGACAACACTTCCACACGCCGCTCCTCACAACCCAGGGACCGGCCATTAAATATCCGATCATTCCTCCAGGCCCACGCTCGCCAGGCCATGACCGAGAAGAGACCGTTCCAATTCGAATAGGAGCCTAGTCTGGCCTTGTGTATTTGTAGCAAAAGTATCCAAGTAGACTTGGTCAAATGACGGGCCGAGACCCTTCCCGGCCCGGTTGGTCGACGGGCCTCAATTTGATGGGCCGTAACCGGCCCGGCCATTTCTATGGGCCAGTTCATATGGTGCGGTTGCGGGCCGGTTTGGTGCCGGGACGACGGCCCGGGTCGACCCTTGGCCATGTCTATATCTAAGTGAGAAAGGATACTACTTCAGGAAAAAGAAAAAAGAAAGGATAATTTACTCTCACTATAATTTATTGGGTCGAATTAGTTACCGGGTCATAAGACTGACCCTCATCAAACCCGGCCGACAAACTCTACAGACTGATATATTCCCACGGTCCCCTTATCACCTACCCAAGAATACAAATACAAAAACTTAATTAATCACTTATTCAAGTTATTGTTTCTGTATATTTTGGAACATCTTTTCTTTATAAACAATTTGCTACATTTGTCCTCCTTAATTTGTCAAATAAATTTATATACTGCAAAATTGTGTTATCTTCGTACTTCACTATCGTGTTATCTATTTTATTCGATTATCAAATAAGTCCAAATTTAACTAATTTTTAATTTTGTCATTTCAATTCCTTGTTTCGGATCGTATTTATCGTGTCGTTTGTCTCACTATGAAAGTCTTAGTGTTTGAGTTTCATGTAGTCATACATAAACTTCATTAGTTAATTTTGTTATGGAGTCAACAGTTAATTGTATAATTGAGTCAATTTCTAGTACATGACAAGTAAAAAAAATAATAGATAGAAAATACAAGTTACAACTACTTAATAAGAAGAACAATGACAATAGAAAAGTAAAATCACTTAAAAATTTTACTTTTAATTTAAAACAATACTTCAAAAAAATTGTTATATTATTCCAAATTTTATGAAATTCTAAACGTGTTGATGAATACTACAAAAAACATCGGATTTCAATGCATAAAAGAAGTAAGTAGCATCTGATTGAAACTACATTTTCCGAGGAATTATTATTAAATGACGAGCACTAATTAAGTAAGAGTATTCATGCCTCGGCCCTAAATTGTTTCCACAAACGTCATTGGCATTAAGAAATTAATAATTGTATATTGATTAATTTGATCATAATTTAATAAATTTTAGATACTGATTCAAAAATAGTAAAAATTATTTCTCCTCAATCAAATGTATACTGTCTAACAATTATAGAAACAATTATAGCGGATTGCTCGATTTGTCGACAAACACTAACAATTATAGAAACGACGACGTTACAGAATTGTCCGGTAGAAGGTAAATATAATGTAGTCGGGAAATGATGATGTCTTGTTAAAAGAGAATTGTCTTTACGCGAACAACACTGTAAGATATTGAAAATCACTATAAAATAAGTGTTGACAAATGGATTTGATCAATAAGTTGAAAGTGTTTTGAGCCGAATCTAAGAATGCTTGGTTAAGATAGATATTAACATTTGTCATGGAACGAATCAAATAGAATAGAAGCGTGGAAAAATGCAAGAATATGACAGAATAATAGTTGCACATGTCGGCTAATGATGCTATTATCGTTTGGTCGAATATTGGACTTAGTGAGTATTACGAGAATTGTCATCTCATGAGTTATATATTTTTCACCCCCTTTTTAGATCAAATACAAGAGTATTTATTGTAACTGTAGCTCGGGAATAGTTCATCGTGTTCGTATACGACCCCATTTAATTGATTGGACATGAACATTTAGTGCATCGTGCTACTCTATGGGCTAATTAAAACTGGTAGGCCGACTGGTTGGCATGCGAATATGTACCCTTTATCATTAGTCTATAAGTGTCCTATATTTTTTTGTTTTCCGCTTGATCTGTTAGGCCAGCTCGGGTGGAAGACTTGTGTCTTGGGTTCAATCTCGTTGTTTTCTCAGGGTCGGTGTTTTTCTATGCGGTGGCCGATTTGCGAACCCGACTCGGCTCATTGGACGCAGTCAGTCTTCATTTCTCTTTTGCGGGCCAATCACTTCAACTCGGGGGTAACAACACTCATGCTTAATTATCTCTCTATACATTAATATAAACAATATCATAACTCATAAAATTTCATGTTCTTAATTAATTTCACCCCGCATTTTTTTTTTAATTTTCAAATAATAACAATATTTGTAATTATAATTATAATAATAATCTCAGCCGCCCATCTAAGCCATTTATATTTCATCTCTCTTTGTCTCAAGAAATATGACGTCTATTCCACGACCACACCACCATATATGCAAAAGAGAGACTTTTGTAGTCTCATCGTGCGCCCTGGCACACCTAGTTATTTGAGAGTCTCATCAACCTCACAAAAAAATAAAAATAAAAAAAGCACTACATAAACACTCAAAAAAATAAATAAATAAATAAATAAATTTAAAACCAAAAATAAAAATAAAAAATGATAGCTTAAATCAACACTCACCCCATACCCTCTCTCTCTCTCTCTCTCTCTCTCTCTCTCTCTCTCTC